GTAAAGCCACCTCACATCCATTGCAACTGAGAATTCTCAAAATGTTTCAACCATTCTGGTATATTAAACAAACAAAAGAACAAACTCCATGCCTTTAGATTGCAAGCGAACTATACCGACCGAGTGATTGCTGCTTGTCGGCGAAGTTAGCACCAAATTTAGTGGATGGAAGGTGTTGTGTGGTCAGCACAATGGATCCTCACGACCATTAATTTCAGTTTTTTTAGACTGGAGCCAGTATTTCCTTGAAACAGCTCCTGAATTATCCTGACGAGGCTGAGTGGACCCCGTTCCAGACCCACTAATTCTAAGAAAATATGGTAGCGCTGGGGAATCGAACCCATGGCCTCTACATCTGTAGCCAGGAACTCTGACCACTAGACCACCGAGGCAGTCCTTGTGGTACATTAAAACACATTAAAATATTCTCCAAAGTTATTGCTATAAATAGTTCATTTTCTGTATAGTTAACTGAGTTCAATGAATTATTGAAAGAAAATACTGATCATGAAATGGCCTATGTGGATACTTCTTATGCAAACACATTTATAATGTTATTCTATATACTGCAGATACGATGGGGTACCCAAAAGAAACCGAACTAATTTTTTGGGGGGCAGAGCTTTTGTAGTACCGCGTTTTGCCGCTATGAGCGCATAGAGCTAACATTCCTGAGTCGATAAGCCAACTACCGTTGCTTCAGAAGGTAAGGACTAGTTTCAGCAGAGTTTATAGTGACAACTGTTTTGTGTGATCGTCGTTTTTGCAATGGCTGATTTTCGTGAACAGCGTGCGGCGGTGAAATTCTGCTTTTTGGTCGGGAAAAGTGGAACAGAAACTCTTGAGTTAAAAACAGCGTACAAGGACGATGCTATGGGGAAAACTGAAGTGTTTGAGTGGTTTTCCCGTTTCAAAAATGGTGAAATGTCAATTGATGACAAACCTCGTTCTGGTCGTCCTTCCACGGCCTGAACACATGAAAATGTTGAAAAAATTCCTGAAATCATCAAGGAAGATTGACGACGGACCACTGAAGAAATTGTGGAGCTGTCGGGAGTGACTTGGAGCTCAGCGGCCAGATTTGTGGCAGTCGGGTGACTGATTTTTCCATCATGACAATGCCCCTGCTCACACAGCCCTGTCTGTACGACAATTCTTGACCAAAAATGGTATGACCCCTGTTCCTCACCCTCCATACTCACCCCACCTTGCCCCATGCAATTTTTTTTTTGTTTCCTTGAATGAAAAGAGACAAGAAAGGAAAAAACGACGGAGGCGCTGTCAAGCATCTCAAAAGATGAATTTAGACAATGTTTTGAAAAATGGAATAAAAGACTAGACAAGTGTATTACTGTAAGTGGAGAGTACTTTGAAGGGGATTGAAGGTTTGTGCTTAAAATTTGAATAAATAAGTTAAAAAAAAAAATAAGTTCAGTTTCTTTTGGGTACCCCCTCATATGTTACTGAAAAGGACTAAATTTTGAAAAGTTCAGCTACATATGTGGAAGGTGAATGGCACCAAAACTGAATTAATTTTCAATGAGCAGAGTGCCCGAGTGTGGTGGAAACACCACAAATCTCTCAATGTGAAGGACCTGATACCATACACTAATGCACAGTGCATCTTTGAGTAAATGCACATGTCAGCAAAGGACACTCAAATCTATCCTATCACACAGTGCCTACCACTAGTGACAGAAGGAACTGTAATTCACAGTGGTACCAATGGAACTACTTCCTATTACCTTCAATAATAAACATAGCAAAAATCTCTCACATAAAATCAATCCCATTTTATGAAGTTACTGGCACATTTTTTCAGAACATACTGATGGACCAATAATACGTGGGGCAATCCAAAAGTTTCCAAAATTTGAATTTTGCCCGCAAATGAAATTGAAATACTGCTAGGTGTCTCCTCACACATCCTTCTTGAATCAGTGTGGCAAGCGGCGTTGAGCTGAGTGGTTGGGTTTATTGTTGGTGAACGTATTTCCAGTGTTGTATTTCCGTGAGTCTGCGGTTTTGCGATGGCTGACCTGAGAGAGCAGCGTGTCTGTATAAAATTTTGTTTCAAACTTTGGAAAACCGCTGCAGAAACGCACCAAATGTTGAAGCAAGCTTTTGGTGACAACAGTTTAGGCCAGACACAAACTTATGACTGGTATAAGCATTTTAAAAATGGCCGAACATTGACTGATGATGACGATCGTTTGGGACAGCCGTCAATGGGCAAAACACCAGAAAATGTCGCGAAAGTTAGGGATCTGATTCTGCAAGATCATAGACTGACCATCCAAGACCTCTGTAACACCTTGGGACTAAGTTATGGCACATGCCAATGAGTTTTGTCAGAGGAACTGAACATGAGGAGGATTGCGGTGAAGTTTGTGCCATGACTGCTGCAAAATGAACAGAAGCAGCATCGCTTGGAAGTCTGCAGGGAACTTCAGCAACAGCTTCAAGAGGATCCAAATTTTCTTTCGAAGGTTGTCACTGGTGACGAAAGTTGG